ACAGGGGGAACACGCAAAGTCCGCACACACACAGAGGGAACACGCAAAGTCCACACACACACAGGGGGAACACGCAAAGTCCACACACACACAGGTAGGGAACACGCAAAGTCCACATACACACAGGGGGGGAACACACACATGTATTTGCACTACAGTCGTGTTGTGGCGATATTTAAGTTCTGCTATGCAAAACTGACAGACTGCATTTTCCATTCACTTTTATTGTGAAGTGCTTACACACAACTGATGCTCTCGCTCTGTATTCGGACCTTCCGCCATATTGCTGAGTAATCGAAAAGGAAAATTTTAATTGATGGTTTGTGACAATCGAACAGAGATTAATCAAGTAATTGTGACGGCTCCCCCCACGGGCAAGGGATGAAATCGGGGAACATCGCGCTGTCTGCTGCTGGGCGCATGCCATGCACAGCGCAGAATGCGCTACAGCTGCAGTGAATGCGGCTGCAGGTACTCACAGCCAGGGGGCGACTGTAGAGAGGATAAGAGGCTACTCATATCTAGATCTCCCCTAGATGGTGGGGGCTGTCTGAAGCAGCTTCTAATAGGCACTACAGATGGTCAACAGCACCATTGTAGAAAAGAACCAGAGAATCCCACCCACCCGCGTACCTGCCATCCCTGTGGGCGGCCCCTCCTTCTGTGACCGTCTTCACAAAGATGCCCAGTTTCTCCAGACCCATGTCTGCTCCCGCGCCCATCCCGATGATGCTGATTCCCAGGCCGTCCCCGTCTGCAGGAAGAAGGGATCAGCATTTCAAGGCGGAGCTGAGCAGATGACTGCAAAGCAACCTACTGACCATCGCAGCCACTGTGTCCGACATTAAAAGTAGGTGATCTGTGTTCCTGCAAGCCGGCACACCTTTCTCCAGTTCCACAGGGAAAAGGTCGAGCCTCTCCACTCTCTTCTCCAGCTCGTACTCAGCCGAGGCTGCCATGGGGTCCACATCGTCATTCCGTCGGTCGTAGTCCTCATTTGAGTACGTCGTGAACACCTAGGGGGCAGAGAGGGGAGGTTAGCTTAGAAATCTTCACACAGAGACCAGAAACAGGAGAAAAGGCCAGGGCTCCATGCCCTCTAATAACTGTATTATTGGTAATCAATGACTGGTTTACAGATCTTTCATAGCACTTATTCAATACACGCTATAGTGAGCTTTAGACCGATTCCAGTCCATCACAGGGCACAAGGTAGGGGACACCCTGACGGGATGCCAGTCCATCACAGGGCACAGGGCAGGGGACACCGTGACAAGATGCCAGCCCATCACAGGGCACAGGGCAGGGGACACCCTGACGGGATGCCAGTCCATCACAGGACTAACAGACTAACATACTAAGGATAATTTGTAGACCAGTTCACCTTTGCATTGAAGGAGGATAATGGGGGGCGGTACGCCCCAACACAGTACTCATGTACTCGTACTCGTACTCGTAGCACTACGCCAATGCCTATAACTATAATACTACCTGATGAGACGTCATTGATATCATTAACAACCAAAATAAATGTGATAGAATGTCTGCGGTGTGCAAGTACTTCAAAGTTAATGACAAAACCAAAGCAAAGCACACTGTGCTCTGCTAAAATATCAAAGGGTGCCATGAAACAAGTTAATACGGCAGGAGTAAGCTAATGAAACATCTAAAAACTAAACATGAAAAGAGATTGACAGAACTACCACGTTCAGAGGTCTGCAACAACCCACTGTACATCAAAATCTGGCATCGAGAGTGAAAATGTGAAACAATAAGCCTCATTCAGTGAACATAACAGACGCTCTTTGATGATCAAGCATAATATCGTAACAGTGGTACGCGAAGAGTGTTAACCACTAATTAACCTTGTTAACCACTGCTCTAGACAGCTTTAGACAGCACATGAACAGCACCCCCTCTCTGTCGGCAAGTTTTAACGCCGTAGTTTTTTTCCCCGTGTTAAATTTTTAAGGGTGGGGGGGGGGGGCATCACTAGGCTGTTACCCAGCATGACACTAACCTAGGAGTCATGGAACGAGGAAGGAGAAAGATCTGGGTGACTATGGATGTTCTCTATGCTTAATTATTACTGCTGGGAATGGCCCAGTTAAGCAGCATGCCTCAGGCATCTGGGTTTTACTGGTCATTCCCTCCTCTAGGAAAGGGCACATTAACATGAGAAGGGGTCTCTTCTCACAGGCAGGAATGAGGCCACGATAAACCTTTTTACTTACTGTTATATAATACAGTGTATTTTTAGTAATGTTGGCAAAACTTTTGTGTGTTGATATATACTGAACTTAAAGCCTCATTAGACCACAAAAGCAATTTATAGCTTCAGCATCAGAAATAGTGCTGTAGAAAGTCCAAATATGGCTGATTTAATGTGGATAGTTACAAATTCATAAAGTATTCATGTCTCCCTTCAGAGTATTAAGGTCTAGATAGAACCAGTCCAGCTGCTAAAGGATCGATACATATCTGAGGACAGAGGTAGGGGGGGCAGGGGGCCGTGTGCATGCAGGACATGGGGCGGCTCAGCCCTCGGTCCAGGTGAGTCACTGACCGGGAACTACACAATGACAGATGGGGTAAAAGCACTTTGTGTCACCAGCCAGCACTGACCATTATAAATAAGAATAAAGGTAAATGCGAGCGAAGCAAAACGTCCTCTGCCGCTGGATTTAATTTCACTGACGTCTATTTCCAAAAAAGGTCACACAATGATCCCTTACTGTCATAAACTCAAGCATCTCCATGGAGCTACGTGTTTATTAATAAAAATAATATGTGGTAGATGGGTTCACCCTGCCTACAAGTCAGAATGCGCAGGATTGTCATTCAAACTGTCACACGCCAGCTCTCTTTCTGTCAGCCTAGTAAGATACTTCTTCGGGTATATTTGCATAAATCTTTTTTTAATTAAGGTATCTGTCTTCACAGGTATGACTGTGCAAGCAAGCAGAGTGTTGTTCAGGCTACTGATCCCTGTCCCTTTAAATCAAATATAAGTGTTTATATGCACCAGGAACAAGGAACAATGCCACCTTGGGGTGGGGGATCAGGAGTATCCTTGTTCTACCAACTCCAGCTGCAACAGTTTAGTCTATATAACAAGCGGTATGCTAATGAAGTAAAATTGCAGTCTCTGCTGCCAACACCGGGTGGGGGGGGGGGTTCAGCAAAAATGTTTGAATCTAAAATACTTCCATCACCCCAAGCTGTGGGCTGCTTTACACACCAGCTGAAGTGAGAGGCGTTCAGCGTTTCTCCCACAGGTCTGCTGTAAGCAAGAGGCGGCTGAGATCTGCTGCTAACGCTACTGCTGCAGAAGCCGCTGTGCTACGGCAGGATTCCATCCATCCATGTATGCAGCTGCCATAACCACTTATCCAGTGAAGGGTCCTGGTGAGTCATCCCAGAAAGCAGATGGGTGGGGCTGTAGCCCCCCCCCCAGCAGAGCATGGCCAGGTTTGTGCCTGTTTTTTCATGCACTGATCTGGTTTTGGCTCTTTGTAGTGTCACAACCTCAGTATTTGTTGTGCTAATTGCCTAGTCATGCTTTTGAAGCTTTGTGTTCGTGTGCATCCATGTGTTAACTATGCATGTCTGCATGTAGAACATGATGTTAGGGTTAAGTGGGGCCCAGGTTGGGCTGGGCTGCAATTCCACAGGCTTGGGCTGATATTTCAGGCCTGTGCACGGCTCTAGGCAGGGCACCTCCTGGACAGGATCCATCACACTGCATGAAATCCCCAGCCACACAGGTGCGAGCCGCCCTGCCGCCCAGGGAGGAGTCACAGAGGAGTCCTAGCAGGAAAGCAGGAAGTCAAATCATCTGAAAGTTTGTTAATGACTTTTTTTTAAGCACTGATGTTAAGGGAGAAGCTGGCTGGTAGCGATGCTTGCTGTGAGAGACTGGGAGGTTAGCAGAGGTAAGAGACTAACTTCCCTGCTTAAGTCAGACAATGTCAGGAGCTCAGGAACATCTATAGGTGTGTTAGTGTAGGTATACTGTGTTTCTCCTGGGGAGGACACACTGAGAGCAGTGCAGGCTTGTAGGTATCAAAAATAGCACCATTAAAGGCTGCTGGGATTGTTAAGTCGCTACGTCAGGTCATCTCTGAGCACAGCGCCAGCCCAGCACTCACGGTAATTATAACTCTCGGATCGTTGAGGCATCCAGGCAAAATGGTCGAACCTTTTCTGCCAAAACCACTGAGAATCATCCAGCCTGGCTGTAAAAATGACACTTATCACCGCTGGCAAGATTTGTGGTGGACACCTTGCACTCAGTCCTAAAACATTCTGCAAGAGTCATTTATAAAGTAAACATGGGCAAATACAAAAGCAGAATCCAAGTGGTACTCTGGACTCTTCCTCTGCCAGGTAGCTTTACACTAATTAGCTGACAAGGCGATTTTAACGCAGCCGAAACAGTCTGCAGCTGCATCTCTTTTCAGACTGGTAAAGTATAGATGAACAGAAGGCCGTTATTAAGATTTCACTTGTATTTCTATCAAAGAAACATGTTCAGAGAGGTATCTATATTTAAAGACAAAATATGGGGCCTCTGTACCTGGTATTTTCATCCATTTCAAACTACCAGCGGCAGGCTACATCCACGGCGGAACAGGTCTCCCTGGAAACCACGAAAACATCAGACAGCTGGTTTCCTGTCTTCAAGATTCGCAAGAACCGATCCAGTCCCCTGCCTTTGCCTTGAATGCTGTTGTAACTTGAGGTAAATGCTGGTAGGTAGAGCACTAATGCAGCCAGGTCACGGAAGGAGGTCTCTATTCATATCTTGATTTATAAGCGACTGTTGGACACTGGAAGCTGTGGCTCTTCTGCACCTTCTCACATGAAGTGTAACCATTTCATCAAGCAGACCTCCCCAAGCAGGAGCCCCCAGTGCCCTGTAATTACCCATGTCGCTCTCCGTTCCCATTGTTTCGCTCACTATCCCCTCCCACTCTCTTTTGTCTCTCTTTCCCTCTGCTCCTCTCCCATCCTCTTTCCCTCACTCTGCTTTGCTCCTCCTCCTGTTTTTCTCCCCCCATCTCTCTCTCTCTCCCTGCCTCCCTCTTCTCCTCCTCAGGCGCCGCTGCCCGGTCACATCACCGTGACTCTCTCCTCGCTGCCATTCCTCCCTCTGTTGCTCTTCCCTCTCTCACATGTAGACAGCAGGCAGAAGTATCTCTTAGCCTGAATGCAGCAACTTGGTCACATGGCTTCAGCACCACAGAAACCACCCAGCTAGCAATTGTGAGTTTTGACACCATTTTTGTTCTTGAGGCTGCAATAAACAGTGAAAAAAATCAGATCTTATAGCTTTTAGCTCTCCTGAATGATGCTGCTCATCAGTTCGCATCAGTGCGCCATAAAATGTTTTCAAGCTATGGTATGAACAGATTAAAATTTCCCCAAACACAAATAATATACTTTTAACATCACAGGGTTTAAAAAGGAACGACTCTCAGTCAAAATTTCTCCTTTTCAGCAGTTTCAGAATATTCAAAACAGAACTGAAAAGCTCACAACCAATAGAACTGATACACCGGACAGTAAAGCCTTTCCCCAGTTAAATACTCACAGCTCATATGGATAATGTGCCACCACGAACCTGAGGGCACAGTTAGCATGGACACTGTGCCACCCCTAACCTGAGAGCACAGTTAGCATGGACACTGTGCCACCCGTAACCTGAGAGCACAGTTAGCATGGACACTGTGCCACCCGTAACCTGAGGGCACAGTTAGCATTGACACTGTGCCACCCGTAACCTGAGAGCACAGTTAGCATGGACACTGTGCCACCCGTAACCTGAGGGCACAGTAAGCATTGACACTGTTCCACCACTAACCTGAAGGCACAGCTAGTATGGACCCTGTGCCACCCCTAACCTGAGGGCACAGTTAGCATTGACACTGTTNTAGCATTGACACTGTTCCACCACTAACCTGAAGGCACAGCTAGTATGGACCCTGTGCCACCCCTAACCTGAGGGCACAGT